TATAAAAAACATGCTCATAAAGAGCACGATAATAGTTATAAGAAATTGGCTGTTGATTTTGAAAATTTAGCTGTACAAATACTTGATAAATTTTATCAAGTAAATTCTCAAGCATGTACAAAAGCAATTATACGACGAATTCCAATTTGGGGCAATGCTACTTGGTTAGATTTAGCTGTTGCAGCTGATGCTAAAGAATTTATTGCTCGACGAGCTGTACAAGATCTACTCAATAATATTTGGTTTATTAAAAATAAACTTTCGAAAAAAATAAAATAAAAACGATGAATATTTCATATAGGTTTGGATATATTGATCAACGAACATCTCATATGAAAATTATTTTTTCAACATTGATGATTTGGTACAGTGGTTTTCTTCATTATAATTATGAATTAGTTCAAGAAATTGATCAAACAACATTTCTTGATGTATGTATGATAAAAGTAACTTTCATGTGTTTACGATAAATAATCTTTGTTTTTGATTTCTAGGAGGAAAATAAGAAATTAAATTTAACTGAATATCAAACATCAGAAAAAAAATGGATAGTTTATAGGTATTGAATATAAGATTTTATTCGTTAAAGTTAATTGGTTTTCATAATAGTAGTTTTTTTTTTTTATAAAAATTTGTTTTTAGTTTTTGAAACGTCTGAAAATGAAATAAGTTATTTAATATTTATTAGTTTATTTCTTAGAGACTTGCATTTCTGATAAATATATCATCACATATGATCAAATTATAATTTTTCACAATAATAGATGAAACTCTATTTCGATTATATTATTCAAAGGCATTCTTATTATTTTTAGTTGTTCATTGTTTTCATCAATTTTTAATTAAAATCTTTTTCATCTTTCAACGTCATAGGATGACATTGGACTGGTGTGACAAGTAATCATTGAAGTATTTGCAATTTACTGTGTTTTGGTCGAATAACTTTTGGGAGTCCCAGCTAGTTCAGCGACAAGTGAACGTATTTTTAGTGCAAAAGGAAAAGTTTTCGAAGAGAAAATACAGAATTTGAGCGGCGAAATTCTTCATGAGATTTAATTCTTACGAAATTTTCAAATTATGTTATGATTTCATATTTGATTATCATTGGAAATCAATAAAATATACTGAAACATAGTGGAAAAAACTTCATATTGACGTCTACTGAAAGCCGGAAATCTCAGAATAGAGTATGGTAAGATTAAGGTGTGGTTCGAGTAGAAGCCTATAGGATAGAATAGGATAAGGATGCGAAAATCGTTGTAGAGGAGAGAATAAAGTAAGAAAAAGCCTTTTACACAGCAGGACTCTACTCTAGACATGTGATAGCTTCATCCCCCAAAGCTGGAATCCATGATCAATCTTTTCTGTGAGTTAGTGCCACTGAATATCTCATCTTTTTTTCTACTAATTAAATACATGACTGGTCTATTCTGGTCATGTACTAAAATGAAGCTATTATAGACTTAGTGTTAAGATAGAATCAGCTATTCAATAACTTAGTTTGAAAAACTGGATTAATAAATTGTTTTCTTCATTCAGATAACTCAATTTATAATGAACGGAGAGCTATCACAGGTTTAGTCCATTGAAGTATGATGTTTGAAATAGCTTATCGAACTGATTTGATATAATTTGTATTTCTTCAAGCCAAAATCCTTTATGTATGCTAATTGTAAGATTCATTACACCCTATGATTTCTTAAACACTTCACTTAACATATGACTATTAACTGTCATTTTCAAATTTATTTCATTTCATCATATTCAATTTTTTCTGTATTCTAACTTTTCTAGGTCAAGAAATACAGTTCGTACGAGATTGTTATCAGATATAACGGATGTAGATAATGCTTCTGCCAACTTCATTGGTATGGGCTGTTGGGAAAAGTAAAGAGAGATGATTCATATATAAGAATAATAATGCAACTAACTACTTATTTTTGGTATGACTACTCTTTTATTTAACACTATTCAACTTATAATTTAATTATTTATATACCATGATTAAACAAAAAACAAAGAAAAATCATATTTCGTTTTATTTTATTCTTCTAGGAAACGACCTGGCCTTAAACTATATTTTATTAATATTACCAGATTTTTACATAGTCCATACGTTAAATATCTTTATAATTTAGTAAGTATTCAATCAGATGAAAGTTTTATTCAAATCACCATTCTTAAAAGAAAAATTGCTCGTTTTCTTTTACACAAAAAAGAATTATTAACTTTCAAAATTAATTTGCATATAACTTCATTGAATATTCTTATTTTGTTCTTTTTTTTTTTCATTTTAGTACTTTCATATGATTTTTCTATTAATTTTCTCGTATGTTATATTATGTGATTTTTTTCCACTCTATGGTTTTCTAATCGATATATGTGTATCAGCTAATGATTCACAAGATCATAAAGAAAATTTTGCTGGCAAGAATGATAATCAACCAAGTATAAATAATTCGTTGATTAGAAACGGATATAATGCTAGTACATCAGGTTCATATGGATTTCAACAACATAAACGACCGTCTGGTACTGAATTCGTACTTCTCATATGGATTTTTACATTAGTTTGTGAAGAAATTCGACAAGTAATTTGATCGAATATATATATATATATATAATCTGTTTACTATCGACATTATAGTTATTTTCAACGGAAGCACAATCAAAACAAAATGCTATTATAGCCTATTTTAAAATCTTTTGGAATAAATTAGATGCTTTGGCTATAGTTTTATTTTTCATTGGTTTTACACTTCGATTTATTCCAATAGCAGAATGTTATTGTGCCGCACGTATTGTTTTATCAGTTGATTTAACACTTTGGTTTATACGTACATTAGATATGTTTGCTGCTGTAAAACGTCTTGGACCTAAACTTATTATGATTGGTGAAATGGTAAGTGATCTAGTTGATTATCAACTTCTATTGAATATTTTTTTTTTTCAAGGTAAATGATTTGAGATTTTTCATGACTATGTTCATTGTATTTGTTTTGGCATTTGGTGTATCATCATATAGTTTAATACATGGTATACAAAAATTTTCTTGGCATTTACCACGTAATATTATAAATCATGCTTATTGGCAAATATTTGGTGATTTGAATACTTTAGAAACATTTTCAAGTATGAGAATGTATAAGAATTTTTAATTAAATCACGATATTTTGTTTTGTTTGTTCATTATTATTAAGATAATTATAAAGCAAATGGTTATGTTGCATTTATTTTATTGGTTGCTTATATGGCTGTTGTTAGTATACTCTTAGTCAATCTACTTATTGCTATGTTCAGGTACTTCAAAAGAATGAGAGAAATAAAATAGCGATTGTAAAAATATCCCATAAATCTAGGGTAACACATTCTTTGAGATTGATGTTAAAGATTAATTAAGTAATTATAAGATTATATTCTATAAGTTGACTTCAATTGATATATTTAAAATAATGAGTTGTGATGAATAGAATTAGAAATAGATATTTTTGTAATAGTTCTATGTAATGTAAATGTATTTCTTTGTATATATGATTGAGATTTATTAGATTCAATTTTTTAATACTTAGAGTCAAAACAATCGATTCTTTTTTTGAGATAAACATAGAGGCATGACTTTCTAAGATATCGAGTTTGAAAATTCGTAAAAATGATATCTAATATTAAAAGGTCTCGAATATGAAAATGCAGTGCAAGTCACGAATATCGATTGTCGAAAAATTTAATATTTTGAAAAAAAATAAGCAATCAATTTTACGATATATCACAAAATGTATCTTCTCCAAAGATATTTCTTTTTATTCCTCCTATTGCACTTCTTTTATGTCGTAGTAAATCGAAAAATTTCGGTTTCGAGAGTGTAGGCGTAGGTGTTCTTTTTGTCCACACTAACACCTATTTGAGGAGCAGTATGACGAAAAAAGAAACGATATCGGATAAAAAACGAATAATCATTTCTACGATTGATTTTTTCTTTATGAAACGAAAAAATTCCGCTTCTTTCAATCAACTAATAAAAGTCAGGACCATACGAAAAAGTAGCCATAGTAAAATTTAGCACTTCGAGAACTTTACAAATATGTATCGAAATGTTTCTAGAGAGCGCTATCTATTGATCATATAACTATCTTTATGATTTATTATCTATATCTGTTTCACATTTGAACAAAGAAAGTGGTATCTATGTTTTGTTGCTTTCTTCATTATAACTATTTCAAAGCTTAAAAAAGACAAAACTCTATAAAATTTGTCTTTTTGGAACGTTATCTGTGTGCGAACATAATCGCATGATGAAAACTAAGAAAAAATAGTGTTATCGGTCCGATCTCAGCACTTTCATCTTACGTCGGAATGAATATTTTCTGACCTTTTCCCTAGAAGACCATTTAATAAGACACCTGATGAACTTTTAATTGGTATATGTAATTTAATCATATCAGAAAGTTCATCATGTATATATACAAAAAATGTTTGCAAACTTTTGTTTTTCAACATTAGCTTTTGCATAAATTGTTGAATTCTGATCAGATTTATTCTTCCGATAATGTTCGTATTGATGAACTGCGGTTATTTTATTCAATAGATACAAAAACACTCTTTCGTACTCAATCCCAAATATCAAGTCCATCATGGGTTTTATAGAAAAACATTGCCTTAGTCATTTGGAGTTTCAAGTTTTTGAGAATCAAAACAATAGAATAAAATGAAAAGTAAAACAACATTTTCCATTATCCAAAGTGGCAAAGTATTCTCTTTCAAATCAGAGTAGTTCAAGCGCTGTAACTTGAAGTGTATTGAAAAAACATTCTTACATATGAAAGCTCTGCTTTGTAATCTTGCTTCTAGAAATCTCCTGAATGCTAAGATTCGAAGTATGAAATACTTTTATTAACCAAAGATTTTCAGAAAGTTCACACACTGCGTCGAAAATCGATTTCGAAGGGAGAAAGACGTTAAACTTAAGTTATGATAAAATAAGTTCGTGAAAAGTTTATGGAAAAATAAACTATCAATGATCTATGTGTATTGAAACTACTACAATCGATCTAAATAATATTTAATTTATATTACTTATTTAAATTTAGTAATACATTCAATAATTTACAAACTGATACAGATCGTATCTGGAAATTTCAACATTATGCATTAGTATGTGAATATTTATCACGTCCATCATTACCACCACCTTTGATTATCTTTTGTCATCTTTGGCGATTAACCATATATATAGCAGCAAAATATTTTAAATTAAAATTTTTTCAAGACCAATATGATAAACATTTGAAACGAACTAATTACAGTAAAAAAAAACCTAAGTGTTTTTCTTTTTAAATGAATTACTTTTGTTTTTTTTTTAGAAATTTTACTGCATGAAAAAATTTCAATAGGTATTGAATCAGCTGAAGACGCATTTGGGGATGAAGTTTATTATAATTTTTTAAAAATGAATAGAAAATCAGCTGATGAAACTGGACTAGATGAAGAACGAGTGTAAGTAAACATGGTTGAAATAAGTACTACTAGTCTTATTTATACAGTAGTCAATTACCACAAGAAGATGTGTCAAATACAATTCGAACGCTTCAAAATCGTATACAAATAATGAGTGATCAAGTAATAATATTCTTTTGTCTATTTGTTATATTTATCTAATATTATAATTTATATTCAGCAAGCTCGTTTATTTGAACATATTGACTGTTTAATGGATGGTTTAAAAATCTCACGTAGTGATTCTATTAAAATATCTGAACAACAACATTTTGATCCTGATGAGTCATGTAGGTTCATGATTTGATTATTCTTTTTTTTTTGAATAAAAACATATAAGAACAAAAAAAATAAAATAGTTGATGAATCGATCAATAATATTGAATAATCGAAATGAAATTATCATTAATAATGATTATTATGAGAAACATAACTAAACGCTATATAAAAAGCTTTTTATTTATTGTTGTTTTTTTATGAAAATCTATTTCATCAAAGCGTAAAAAAATTATTCAATGCAATCTTTAATCTTATCGAAGAATAATAGTTACTATTCAGTTTATATTTTTTTTTAGTTTTCAAAGAATATAAATAAATTAGTTTGTTGTTTTTTTGTTTGTTTTAGTAATTAATACACAGGTAAACGATGAACTACTTTTTCAATCGTATTGTCATCCTGGTTTTCATTTAATATAACAATATGCATTTGTTACTAATTGCTAACTATTGTTTTTTTTTGTTTGTTCTCAACTGATTCATATTAATAACGTTTTTAAATCTTCTGTTGATCTTTGTATGAATGAATGAATTGGATTTTAAAACACAATCTTATAAAATCAAACATTAATGATTCGTTTTTCTTTTATGCATAGAAGTTACCACCACCAAAAAAATCAATGATAAGCGATGTTTGAATTCGTATTCTAAAGAAATAAATGATTGTTTTAATAATTATTAAAAAAAATGAATTATTCTATGTGATTTTTTTTGTTTATGAACTAAAAATTTATACGAAACTGGTTGTACTTATTATTCATTGTCTTTTTTATTATGATTTTTTTTGTCAAACTCTAACAAATTTTATGAATGTCAAAATTTTCTGGTTTGTTATTTTTTTTTTTTGTAGAACGTATAAGAATCTTACTGATATATTCATGCGTAATCGGTTTCTCATTATTTGCCTTTTTTTGAGATGTTACAGAAGGGCATGGGTATAGATATAGATGTTGATGTGTGTAAAAACAAACTAAGATTCAAACCTATATTTATCCACACCCTAACAACTTCATTCTGAACAAGCTAATGATACCGAAATAGTCACCAAAACTAGATGGATTGTCGAATCTTTTCATGCACAATTCAACAAATGGCGCTTTTTTTTTCTGAACGTATATATCAGAATTTTCTTCTCAACATCGAAATACTGGTTCAAACTATAGCTGCTTATTTAAACAAATATCGTTCTTGTCTTTCTAATGGAAAATTGCCCGAAGATCATGTTTTGACTAATTAAATGCTGTTAATGAAAAATCGATCAAATCATGCCGAACAACTAATCACTAGTAAGGATTTGCTGCTACGGAAGAACTTGGTAAATATGTTCCGTATCAAACTTGATTTTGATTGTCCATATTTTACACTTAATTTTCTTCGCGAATATACATGTGGGATTTATCAAATAAACCAAAGCTCATCTTATGCAAAATTGCATCTATATGATCATGATAGTGAATTCGAATTTCAACTCTTATCTTCTCAGGACTCTTTTCTACGTTGTAGTTTACGAAATAAACACACAAGTAGAACGTTGTATTTCATATTCATACATTTTGACAATGATGGCAATTATGAGTCAATAAAGGATCAATATTGCGAATTCAAATCCGACTTAAGAAACTTAGGCTGCTGTTTTCATGTAGCTACCATAGTATGGTATCTTGGTTACACACGGCACACAATCTTGACGCCATCATTACGAATTGATTGTTTTCGTGAAAAAATTTTGAAATGTTAAATAAAACCACTTCTCTATTGTTTTTCTTTTATGAATTAGTTTTGATTAAAAGAATAAACCAAAGAGAAGCAATAATGATTTATTTTAAGGACTTAAGCATGCATAAAGTTTCAAAAACCAAAAAAAATTATAGTAATTATTTTATTTAGGACATGATACTTCTAAAAACGAGGAAAATATCGAATCAAGCATATTTTTACGTATGCTACTTGTATATTTGTATTCATTAATATATAACGTAGGAAAATACAATAGTATTGGTACACCGAACAAATCCCTATTTTTTTAAGCTTCTTCCATTACATTAATATATAACGAGAGGTATTTCTTTCAAAATGGCGAAATATGACTATTATGAGGTATTAAAGTCAGTTACAGTATTAATTTTGATTTTATTGTTATTATATTTGATCAAAGTCATGTATTCAGTTCAGAAAAGAGATTGTATCAAATATTAAGAATCTATTGATTGATTCCATTCTCTGTGAGGTAATGTACAAAATACCAACACACATACTCTTTTAGTATTTTAAAATTTTTGGAAAATACATGCTTCTTAGTAATATTTATTAATTCTTTAAGCATTCTTAGAGAAGAAAAGAACTATTTCGAATAAAGACAATCAAACAAAATGTGTTCTCATTGTTCATTAATTATGAAAATGCGATTTTTATAAATGTAAGATGAAGTTTCTAACATAACAGGAAAAGATTGAACATTTTCAGACTTCATTATCTTCCATTGTTTAACGAGAGAAATGATGAAAAACTCATCAAGGCAACATTATATTGTAGTTCTTTTTTTTTGATTGTTCTCTAGCTCTTATGAAATTTTCAGAGACTTTAGTGGTATAATTCTTGAGAACAACGAAGAAAAACCTAGGAAAAAAGTTTCTAAAACAAATGAAAAATTTACCATGTTCTTATAATATTGAATGAGTATCTCTCCAGCCCCTTTGATTTTCAACATGGTTTTTATGGCGATTGATAGAACATGACTAGGCGTAGTCTCTGAGTACAAATGGCGTTGGTATCAGTAAGTCTTGAAGAACAACTCAATGTCTCAAAAAGAAATTAAGAAAACCAAAATCCTTGATTTTTCAATGTCAGATAACTAAACAAGTAGGATTGTAGAGGAAATAAAGCCCTACAAAACTAAATGAGACAATCCTTGTTATCGTACTTTATTAATGGCTTACAAAGAATCACTTTCATATAAGGATCGATTTTTTTAACCCTAAATATCTGATATACGAATTCGTTATTGTAGATAAGAAAAATTCTTGAACCTTTATTAGTAACCAATTTATTTTATATACTATTGGATGTAACTTTTCAAGCTTTACAAAACCCTGTATTTTGTTTCACAAATTGGATAGGTTCATAAAGCCCGGCAAGGTTCTTTCAGTAACATGCAATGTGTAGTAACTTAACGACGACAAATAGCCAGCGTAAAATGATGATGCGAATGTAGCGATGGCTTTTTGGCACATTCTAGGCATAGATCATAACCACTGAAAGGAGTTGTGCTTGTCGCAGTCAACTGAGTAGTTCTATATTTCTCTCGCGTAGTAGTTGTCACCTCTACTTCTCGAACATGTCGTTCATTGCTTCCAGGAAGTACAAAACCGCTGCACTCCATGCATCGAAATCCCATCTCACCATCAGTAAACATGTGTTCACAGCCATCGCAAAATGCTTGTCCATATAGTATATAACCAACACGATGTGAAAACTGATTAAAAACATGTTGATCCATGCTCTATTTACCTCTCGCACAAAAGTAACTGCGTCTTGATCTCACACGTGTTATTGCTTTTAAAAAAAAAGTAAAGATAAGAACGAATAACTAACGAAGACAGTTAAAATATGTCCACACAGTTTCAATTCTCTAAACTATTTGTAAAAAGAATTCGTTGCTCTTCAATCTTTCGAAGAGGGGCAAGGCAAGACATGTTTTGATAGAGAAATAAAAATTTCGTTATAAGCTTGTTTTCTCTGTTGAAGCGAAGTAATGATGTGAGTGTGTGAAGTGTGTGTGGGGGTAGATGTAGTTTGCAGGTGTATGCTATTATTACCATGGATATTGCTTTTGCATTCACACCCACACCCTCATGAATAATTCTATCGCAATCAATCGCCCAAATGCATCACAAACAGTCAGCTAAGATGTTATTTTAATAAAAACAATATTATTTTTATTAAAAATACTCCAAATAAGCACAAGAATATGTTTGAAACAATCTCTTTTTATGTAATCTTCGCATGATATTGATTTCATATTTGTAGATGAGAGTGAAGAAAATGATGTGATGTGATAAGTCTTTATGTTACACGTTGACTACCATAACATATAGTACCAGCAAGGAGTTCATAACTAACGAAGAGTGTTCCATAGGCACAATTAAACGCTGTATATTCACAATAAGTACTTCGGTCATCAGGATAATAATATTGAATCTTTCCTTTAGCTCGAAAAATCCAAACGTTTCCCTGAATGAAAAAGATTTAAGCTATGTATTTGTAACAATTTACAATGAACTTAAACTTACAGTTATGAACCATCCAAGACAGAATATCCTTAATAAAATTTGTAAAATACTATAGAACAACGACTTTTCTTGAATAATTCAAGAAAAAAGAAACATTACAATATGAAAATATTATCGATTGCACGCACATTATTATTTTGAATCAAATATAGAGTTTTTAAGAAAAATATTACTTTAATATGATAGAAAGATTGGTGAGCATCGAAGTGCAAGTGATTGCAAGTTTAAAAGATTGATTTGAATAGGCATAAAACTTCTGCCAGGTGGTAGAACGAATTGACTGTCTAGCGTATGATGTACGTTTCGCCAGAAAAACATATAAGCAGCACGATAATTAGTTGAGAAGCGTACACTAAACATGATGAAAGAGTTAATGGATAACAATGAGTTGAGAATCAATTCAAAAGACGAACGTTTTATATCGATTAAAGATAAATGACGACGATTGATCAATGTAGATACATGTGATGCTAACCATTAACCATTATCAATAGCTAATGTATCTGAGACACATAATGAAATAAGACGATTACAGATATTTACTTATAATAAATGCCTATAATAAAATTCGGTCATTGTTATACTCATTCCGTCTCAAACTCAAATAAATGAGCATCATTAAGATTAAGAAAAAATATTGAATATTTCATGCAACGGAAAATAAATAAATATTTCCTAGAGAGTTTCGACAGGGAGATGCTCTAATGTTGTTGCCATAGTTTATCTTAATGGCAACATATTGAATATTGTGCATCATTCTTATACAGTGACATCATGAACAATAGTACAAAACATTATTGTTCTTGTTGCTTATAGCCATCGC